GATGGTTGAAGTGGAGGAACGCATCGGGCTTGTTGTGAGATAGGAAAGTCCCCTCAAACTTAAGGGAAAATTCTATAAGATGGTTGTGAGACCTACAATGTTTTATGGTGTCGAATGTTGGCCATTAAAAGAGAAGCATAATACTAAGTTAAGTGTTGCAGAGATGAGGATGCTTAGGTGGATGAGTGGCTTTACCCTTAGAGATGGGATACGAAATGAGCGTAAACATGAAAAGGTTGGAGTAGCTCCAGTGGAAGATAAGATTAAAGAGAGTCACCTTAGATGGTTTAGTCACATTAAATGGAGGCCTTCTGATGATCCGGTTAGGAAAGTTGAGGTATTATATTTGACTTATGTTAAAAAAGGTAGAGGTAGACCTAAAAATACTTGGTTAGAAAATATTAGAAATGATCTTTCTTTATTAGATTTAAATGAGAATTTGACTTTTAACAGGACACAATGGCGAAAAAGGATTTATGTAGCCGACCCTACGTAGTGGGACGACAAAGGATTGATGTTGTTGTTTTTGCTTCTGAACTTTAAAGCTGGAAAAAACAAAACAAATATGAACATACCATGATCCCAGTGCATGGTTTCCAGTATCTTCAGACAGAAATCCAGGGAAAATAGACAATGTAAGAGCATAAATCAGGTACAAATCCAATGCATAATCCAAATTCTTCATCAACAACTGCTTCAATGTCAAAAGTTCTATGCGTTTTGGATCTTCTTCAACCTGAATTGGATTATTTATGCATTCAGGGTTGGAAGTTTTCTAATATTTGTTTACTAATTCAAACAGAGAAGTAAAAAGAATCAAATTAGAAGAGCAACACCAACAGACCACTTGTTCATTCTTCACTTCTACGCCAGCAGCTGCGAGGTCAGCAGAAACTGTCTTCGACCCTTCTGAAGCAGCCTTCGCTCGATAGTATCTCACAATAGACAGTTTCGGAAAGACGTACGCGTAAAGAAGAACACATAACAGTTCCAGAAATGATGCGACTGCGAAGAACAGCACTGCGAGAAAGAAATTCTTGTTTAAGATAGAACATAGACGATAACATCCAGAAAAATAGAAGATTTTTTATGTATTAAGAAGCAGTTTTTGCATACTTGCTCCCTTTCTAAGGCCATCATGTTTGTGCTCAAAAGATGCCTTTGTAATCAACCTTAATGCAGATGTTAAAGCTCCTGATGCAGCCAAACCAGCCATGAATGACTGAGAATCAACAAGATCAAAAAATAAGTAAATGTGGTGAAATTTATTGAATGCACAAATTTTTTCGGTGTTCTTGGGTGAAAAGGAATGGTTTTATAGTACTTTTTGAAAGTGCCTAAGAAGTAATCTTAAGGGGATGTTTGGTAGCAGGATTTAGGCCGGATTTGAGCCGGATTTGAGCAAAATCCAGCCAAACGGCCTAAAATGCAAAACCAAATCTCACGGCAAATAAAATCCACGTAGACTTAAAATTTCTCCTTTTCATGCTAAATCCTGGATTTCCAAATCCTGTTTTTTGCCGGATTTACGAAACCCTCTGGCTTTATTGGCGTGGGCAAGAAGAAACTCCGCTCAAAATTTTTAACCTCTTTAAATCCTGAGTAGAATAGCCAAACAGTCACATGGGATTTAGCATGATTTATCATGAATATTACCAAACAACTTTCAGGATTTAACCCCCTCAAGATTTCATAATTCCAGATTTAGTGGAGCTACCAAACAGCCCCTAAGAGTAAGAGTAACAGTGACAACGAATCCCAGATGACGAGATGATCTTTGCTAAAGGACATAGACTGCGACACTCTTGTTCTAATAATTCAAACAATTAGAATATGAAGAAATTACCTGAATGAACTCAGGTTGCATAAGAGCAAGATCACCAACCATGCCCCCTTGAACATGAGCATCAGCAATACCAAAAGCTGCACTAAGAACACATACCCCAATGAAGGTTCCTATCCCTCCTCTTCCAGAGGTTGCCAAATCTAACTGTAAAATATAAAAATATTTTGATCAATTCAATTTTATGAAAGGGAAATCCTGAAGCTATATGCAACTTAATTAATAAAAGAGAATTCACTTACAATAATCACAAGCACTGTACTTATAAAGAATAGGGTATAGCCAAATAAGTTCCTTTTTCTGGTATTGAGCTTTGCTTCATTATATGCAAGTATTGCAACAGTAACAAAGGCAAAAGGCTGATAAACAATAGTAAGTACTCTTGTTGGGTGATACCTCTGCAATCAGAGAAAAAAATCAAGATAATATTTCAGTAAATCATAATATATGGTAAACAAATACCATTTGTATAGATGCAGGGAATATTCTATTCTGTTAGCCTATAAACATAAACATCGGTGTATTTTGGAACAATGTAACATACAACAACAACATCAAACCTTTATCCCATTCCGTGCAGCAATGTAACATAAAGAATATAATTTTGAAAGCACCGGCAACAGAAAATCATTCCAGAATTTAGTAAATTTCAGCAAAAAACTTAATTAACATATGATTTCAAGTTGAACGCCAAATAAAAACTAAGGTTGTTTGGTTTAAAGTAAAAGGGGTGTAAAGTATCCCAAATATATGAATTTTGAAAATATTGGCATTTGGTCTGAAGTAAAAGTAATGCAAAATAAAATTTTAAATTATTTGTAATTCACCATCGAGTTTAATTTTGATGTATTTGAAAATCGTCAAATTTGGATTTCCAAAGACATCAAATTCTATGTCATTGCTGTCGCAAGCCATCGCAACCACCCTCCTACTCTATCACCAGCCGCCCAACCGCCCAATTGGAAGTCGTCACCCG